ACTGGAGAGAAAGAGAAAAGGAAGAGATAAAAAAGAACAGAACAGATCAACAGCCACAAAAAGGCTAGAAGCCACATTCACACTCATATAGAAAAAAAACCAAACAGTGAAGGAGGAAAAAAAATACGAAAACAAACCACAACCACAACAACAAAAAACAAACGAAAGACAGAGGGGAAAAAAGTCCACTTCCAGGTTTGTCTCTGCTGTCACTAGTAGACAAAGTGTGGGGACTAAGTCCCAATCCATGCTGATCTATCCCAGCAAGCCAGCAGTAGCTTTTTGGTGAGGTAACAAGTTTGCACCTTCTGGCCAGGACCAGGCTCATTCAGCCTGCAGCCATCTGTGCACCTTCTGCAGGCCTGAGCCCAGCTGGTAGTTGCTAGGTGAAACCACAGCAGCCATCATGAGTTCTGAGCCCGGCTGGATCTTCTCCTAGCTGGCTCCCAGCCATTGCTGTTTCCTATAGGAGGACTGAGCCCTCAGCACTCACCACCAGGGCAGTTCTTCACATTGGCCATTCCCCTCCACTCCTGCATCTCTTGTCTCTCAGTGGAGGCCTCTGGTGTTGCCAGCCATCACCATATGTCACAGGTGTGAAGCGCACCTCTGGCACCATGGATCCAGTCTCAAGGAGAAGACTCCACCAACTACTTCCTTCTTCATTGGAGTTTCTTTCTTCACTCTCTCCATGGGCTTCAATTCACATTTCAGATTCTTCCTGGGTCCAGGGGACCCTCTTCCTTCCTTGTCTTCCTCACATTGCTACATTCCCTCATCTGGATGACGACTCTCAGAGAGGCTCTTTCTGTGCTGCTGACCACTCCACAGTCTTGGTGTCTAGCTAGTTTTGGTGATTTCTATGGGAAATGCTGTAATAAACTGGCAAGTGTTCAGTTATGAAGAAGGTCTTGATAACCAGGGACCGAGAACAGGTTCAGATTTGAAACCAGATATTATTAACTCAGTGATGGTTGAACATTAATTTTTTTCCATTTTTTTAATAAAATGGATTCTAACAAGGTAAAAAAGCAATATCAAAGGGCACAGGGGCCAAATGCCAGTACAAATGTCCAAAAAGCACCACATAAGTGTTTATACACCAGACACACATCATGCTTCAGTAGTCAGAGATTCAAAGCACTTCTTAGACTGAGGACACACTTAATGCAATGTTATTTTTTTTTAAGTAGAAGCCTCCCAAGTCAAAGATCCCATATTCATGGGGCAGCCTGTAGCAGAAAACCCACCAATAAGTGAGACATAACTCCTCACAGTAGTATGGGCATGACACCACCAAGGGTTGGGATGCCCTTTATAGGGGGTGAGGTGACCTTTGTGGCTAGGACTGAGGGAACTTGGGGGAATGGGAGCTGGAGGAAGAGGCTGCTGTCTGGGCTTAGAGTCCCTCCTTAGGCTCTATGGGTCCCAGGGATTCAGCCCACTGCCAGCCTGGTTCCAGTGACATTGCCTGTCAAGGGCGGGAGCGGAATAACAGCGTTTACTCGAGCTTTATCTCCCCTGCAACAGCCTGAATTTCCGTGTCCCCCTAAGTTTACAGGGTGAAAATGTAACCCTGAGGGGATGGTGGTAGAGGATGGGGAGACTGTTTGAGAGGGTGAGATCTCAGGCGTGGAGTTAGGTTCCTAGTATAGCTCCTGGCTCTTCTGCTATGTGAGCACACAGTGAGACGGTACCTCCACAGGGAGAAAGGAGGCCATCTGACCAGACACCAAATCTGCTGTTTCCCTGACCTTGGACTTCCAGCCTCCAGAACTGTGCACAATAGATTTCTGTAGTTTAGAAGCTGTGGAGTTTATGCTCTTTGTTGTAGCAGCCCAAATGGACTGAGACCTCAAGCTGCTTTGCCCTCCACCAAATTCTTGATTATAAGACTAAAGGGAGGTACTGTGTAAATGGAGTGCAGGGAAAGCTCCATGAAGATGCATCCACAAATCCCTTCCAGCCAGAACAAAGCTGTAAGGAGAGTCACACCAGGTCCTTGTACTCTGAGAGCCAGTCACTGGGAATTGGTCACTCGGCAGAGCTGTGGCATGGTCTCCTGGAGAAGTCCCCGAGTTCAGTTTTGGTCATGATGGTTAAAATGGAGTTGTTATTTATTTATTGCAGTACTAGGGATTGGACTCAGGACCTTCTCATTGAGCTACATCCCCAGCTTGTTTGTGTGTGTGTGTGTGTGTGTGTGTGTGTGTGTGTGAGAGAGAGAGAGAGAGAGAGAGAGAGAGAGAGAGAGAGAGAAGGTCTTGCTAAATTGCCAAGGATGGGTGACCCTCCTGCCTCAGCCTGCCAACTGGGATTACAGGTGTGAGTACCACCGTGCAAGTTAGATTTTCTTTTAGATTCTTGGTCACTTCTGGGATACAGAAGTCACTGTCTTTGCTTTGGGAAGATGTTATAATGCATCTCTTGCAGCTTTCCCCAGTTTTAGAGTTAGGCATTTGGTGTGTCTGTTTTGGGGACATTTTTAGTGAAAAAAATTAGCTTAAGCCAAAATGAGTCTATTTCTTCGTGTACCTGCTAGGGGGAGGGGCAGTCATATTCCAGGCATGGCTGGGTCCTGGTACCTGACCAGGGCTATCAGGCTTCTCTGCTGCTCTCCCCAGGCTCCTCCCTGCACACTGCCTCTGCTCTCCTGCACGCAGGTAGTCTTCACTCTGTTCCTTCCAGCTGGTGAGGGAGCTGGCCAGTGACTCCAAGCTGCATGAATGATGCCAGCTGAGGTGGAAGGCAGTACAGGGATGAAGACACCCTCTCCTGCCATCTGTCTTCTAGCATACGCAGGTTACTAAGTTTTCTGCTGTGTCCAGTTTTTGTCAGTGTGACACTGGTTGAGGAAAAGCCACACCAGGACCAGAGACAGAAATGCATAATGAGCTGGGTGTGGAGGCTCACATCTCTAATCCCAGCACTCAGGAGACTGAGGCAGGATTGCCATGAGTTTGAGGCCAAGCTGAACTACATAGCAAGACCCTGTCTCAAAAAACAAACAAGCAAATAAAAATAAACACAAAAATCCCAGATGGAGAAAACAGGTGACTCAAGAAAGTTTCCTAAAATGCAAAGATTTGTGTCAAAATAAAGAGGAAAGATTTATGTCTCGAGATCAGAGGGGTCAGCGCGGAGTTAGCACAATAAGGAAGGTGCCCATGTTACGCATCGTCCAACTAAGAAGAAAACAGATCATGTTCAAAGGATGGAGAACCAGGTGGAGCTGTGACAGTGCAGGAGCTCTGAGACAGTGCCACACACACTTTTGCGAAGAAGTATTTCTCACTGTGGTTGGGTGCCCATCTAAACCCAATGAACAGTAAGAACAAACAGGCAAGTTAAACACACACACACATTGCACATGAAGTTAAAAACAAAGCATAGCATACAATACTGTGCAGCTATGGAAATTTTTACCTATTCCTAATAATTAAAACTGAATTAGCTAAAATTGCAACACTGCTCTGTATGTGTGTGTGGTGTGGTTATGAGATTATGTGAGTAAAAGATACTACTACTTTCACTTCCATAGTGGGAAGTCAATTCATCCTCATACTGAAAAGTCAGGAATCAGGAGGCCAGGGAGTTAGCTCAATGGTATAAGCACCTGCCTGGGAAGCACGAGGTCATGAGTTCAATTCCTGGTACCAAAAAAGAAAAAAAGTCAGGAATCGGGAATAGGAGATGCTGTTTATGAATTTGGCGATACACAGAAAAATAAATGATTCCAGCTCACACTGAGAGGAGGAACACTGGGGAGGGATGGGCCATGGCTTGCTGTGATCCATGTTGAACCTCAGAGAATGGGGACAGAACAGGTGCCTCCATGATTTTGATCAAAAGGCAAACCAGACAGTTTTAAAACTCATAGGAGACCTAGATCCCTCACACTATTTCTTTTATAATGCTTGTTTGTTTGTTGTACTATTTGGTGGTACTCAACAATGGGGACACCTTATGAGAATGTGTCATTAGCACGTTTCATCATTGCACGGATGTGACAGGCTTGGCTTTCACGAAGAGTCTGGGAAAGGTATGACACATGAGGAAGTCAGGAGGCAATGAACAGTGGTCCTGGCTGGAATAACTTTTGTCAAAAGCCAGGCAGTGAGTGTCTGAGCCAGTGTTTTTTTGTTGTTGTTGTTTTTGTTTTTGTTTTTTTGTACTGGGGCTTGAACTCACGACCTCACACTTGCCAGGGAGGCACTTGACAGGCACTTATTCAGCTGAGCTAAATCCCTGGCCCCTGAGACAGCATTTTTATATGAGCCATAGGTAAGGGTTACAAAAGAGGGACAGGACAGCCTGAGTTCTTCTGATCAGCTAGCAAGGTGAGATCATCGGTTAGCGGTCTAGATTAATGACCATCAGTTACCAGACTAGATTAGACAGTGCTGGTACAATCAAGTATCCTGTATGTTCAGTCTTCTGAACCCTCTTCTGCTTACAGGGGTCAAGAAAGTAATTACAGAGCCATGAAGCAGTTACAGAGGTAGGCAGTTTCAAAAGAACAGAGCTTTAAAAACAATTTCTCTTGTACAGTTTTTCCCTTTCACCAGCTGGCCACAGTCCTGAAGCAAATATCCCCATGACCAAGTCAAACAGGTCATCTATGTGGACCTAGAGCAGTTCACAGGTAGAGGGTCTGTGTTGTCCCATGGGTTGAAGCTGGCCTTCCTGGGTGTCTGCTCATTGCGTGGCAGTGGCCGGGGCAGTCCAAGCCCAGAGGGCCCAGGTAGGGAGGCTGAGCTGTTGGCTGGTGGTAGCTAGCAAAACCTGGAACTGCACAGAGGGCAGGGAGGACAGTTGGAGGCAGAGGTTCTCTACTGGGAAGGTGTGCAGACAAGGTCTCATCCCGCGGCTTATGAACCTTGAGAAATCCTCCCACAAATGTGAGACAGCCTTGAACCCAGCATCCTACTATAGAGGGCAACTGTGGGGAGTCCCTCATGGCAAGCCCCACATCTAAGTGGTAATCACCCCTTTCCCAGGAATTGACCACAAGACAACCACCATCCTGCTCGATGGGCGACGGGTGAAGCTGCAGCTGTGGTGAGTCAGGGCCCCTCCCAAGAGGTGTAGCCAGCATCCCAGGGACCTCACCCTTGTTTTTTCCCAGCATGAGCTTAGTCTCTAGTAGTAATTTTCTAAGCTAAACCCCTGACCCTAATTCTCTAACCCTAAACCTCATCCTTGATTCTAGCTTTCTAACCCTAACCCATAACCCTCTATTCTTAACCCTAAGTCTCTAACCCTTAACATTAACCCTAACCCCTAACCTTAACCCTAGTCCACGGTGAGGGAGCCCCAGAGGTGAGCATGTGGTATGTGGTACCTCCCCCGTGCTGGAGGGGACTGGTATATCCGGGCTGAGGAAGTCTGGCCCCAGTGCCCCAAGCCTATTGTTCTTGGCTCTAGGATCCTCCACAAGCCTGACAGGGTGGACAGGGCAGCAGAATGAGGTTCTGGGGCACTTGCCTTGGGTGCTGGACAGGCTCTCTTCCTTGGTCCATAAGGAGGCCCTGGCTCTACAGCTCTGGCCACCCCCTCCTTCAGCTCTGGGAGTGGGGGATGGTATGTCCTGCTACTGTCCATCCTTGGCTTCCTGGGGTAGAACCTGTTGGGCCTGCACAGTCCTTTCTCCACCTCTTGCCCACCAGACCATGCCAGGTTACTCCCAGGCCACACACACCTCCTGTTGCAGGGGCCCCAGTGCCAGCCAAGGGGTCTCTCTACAGTGTTCCCAGCTCTGAGTGCAGCTCGACTGCCCAGGGTCACTACAAGCTGTCCTCCTGCTCCCCTAGAACCCCAACCTGATGGGGCAGGCACTGTCTAAGAGCCGCACTCCCAGCCTGCACTAGCTTTGTCCTCAGAGACTGTATTGACAGTAGCCTAGGAGGCCTGAATGTCCACTCAACTCAGAGAAGCTCTGTCCTGCCTGTTTCTGGTCTGGGTTAGGAAATGCCTCCTCATCCCTCACTGCCCAAATGGACCTCAGAATCATTTCAGACCCTTTTTTTTTCTCTTCCCCCCAGTGGGACCTCTGGCAGACTTGGCACAGGTACTGTAGCCATGTGCCCTCCCCTCTTCTTCAGTCCCGCTGTCCCCACCTGCTGCGGACTTTTCTCAAGAAGCCAGGTCTGGTCCCCAAAGTCTCCCAAGGTCCTCAGGGGATCCACCATGCTCTGAGTCACCTGAAGCCCCTGCAGGACCTCATGGCCACTCCTGTATGGTGCATTGGCTGGCCATGTCCATGTTGATCCCTGTGCTTAACTGTATTCCTTTTTAGCAGCCTCTGGTTTGTCCTTCACCCCCACCCCGCCTAAGACCTGTCCTCTGTCTGCCTGCCCACATCAGTGTCTGTGGTGGGGCCAGACCTTTGCACAGGCTGTCACTCTGATTGAAGCCAGCACGTGCACTGCTTTTATCATGCCATCCCCTCGTATGCAGACTTCCACATGAGCAAAGCTGGAACCCCAGGTTCTGCTGAGGCTGGTCCTTGGATTATTGATCAATCTGTCTCTCAAGAAAATGAGGTTCTCCTTCCCATGTCTTGGGCAATGGGCAGTACCTGTGACCCCTGCTAGGTGCCAGGCCCTCCTCCAAGGTGTCAGAGTGTGGGAGCAGGTCTCTAGCCCACAAGTGACATAGAAGAAAGACAGCAAAACCACGCTTCACCTGTTGCTCATTGTGAACACTCCTCGTGTGCATGGCCAGCCTAAAAGCACGGGGGACCCTCACCCCTAAGAATCTCTGCTGATGTGGGTATTAACTGCACATGCAGATGTGAATTGACACTGCCTTCATATAAGCCTCCAGAAGACACTGCCCACTACCCCAGCTGTTATCAGATGGAGAGTTCCAAGACTTCTTGCCAGAATCTTGTCTTCCCAAACACTTAGATAAGACATACAGAAAAGGCAGCAAGAAGTGTACATTTATTGAATGCACAAAAGAAGTACACTCTGTAGAGTAAGTGTAGGCAAGGTAGAAGAAGCAGCCTGAGCGTAAGGAGGAACAGATCTTTTCTGTCTAAAATACTTTTTATGTAAATAAGGCATTGGGAAAGTTGTCCTATCAAACACCACTTGGTGTAGAAAGTGACCTTTCAAGAAACTCCTCTGGCTTCCTATTAAATGTAAATGAAGCATCAGAAATAGTGTTTTTTGATTGGCTGTGCCTACAAGCATAATGAAGCACTTAAAGGAGTACTTTCTGATTGGTTCTGTGTACAGGGAGGATGGTGTCCTGTAATGAGTGTCCCTCTCCCTGGGCCCTATCTCATAGGCCCCACAGTGACCCCACAGCAAGATTAATCTTCTCCCAGCTATACTTTCTTGGAGCATGCTCTGGGCTTGCTGACCACCAGCAGCCAGGTATCTGTGTCCCCTGTAGGGCTGATGCCTAGACTGGGCCTTATATCAATCTTCTCTTGGATGACACTGGGGCGGATGTTATGTGAACTACTCATAATGTAAGCGGAAGCCATTGCCCAGTATAGACTCACATGCCTTACTACACATCATTATCTTCACTTAAACCAAATTTTAAAAACCTACTTTAGATACATTTGTGTGCCTAAGAATCACGTTAAAAACCCTCACTGCTTTTTCTAGACTGACTTTTAAAATAATCAGAAAAAAGAACAAAGCCAGGCATGTTGGCATGCATCTATAATCCCAGCAGTTGGGAGGCAGAGGCAAAAAGATTGTTACAATTTTGAGGCTGACCTGGACTACAAAGTAGGTTCAAGACCAACCTGAATCATGTGTTAAGACCCTGTCTCCAAAAAAGGAAAGAAAGTAAAGGAATGAGCCCAGCAGGACATCCCAACATCTAGGTATTTCCAAGAGAAGTGGACAAGGTTTGCTGGCATCTTGGCCTGTCCACATGTCAGCCACCAACGACCACAGGGAAATGCATTTATCATGGTTCCCAGGTTTGTGACCTGGCTGTCAGGAAGAAGCACGGAGTTCTCCTAACAGTCTCCCACATCTTTTCCAGGGACACATCTGGGCAGGGAAGATTCTGTACCATATTCCGTTCCTACTCGAGGGGAGCACAGGTAACACAGTGGCCCTGAGCTTGGGGATCCAACTGCATGTGAACGATGGCCTTGGCCACACCTGGCCGACTGTCCTCTCTGACGAGGCACTGGAGGCTGAGGAACACAGGTTTAAGTGTAAATTGGTGGTCTGAGAGTGTTTGTCAAGCACAAGGTCCTCAGTTTGATTCCTGGTACAAAAACAAAAAAAGTTTTTGGTGACAGGCCTCCCTCAGCGTCAGCAATGTGTGCGTGTGTGTGTACATATGTGCGTGTCTGCATGTGAGGTGCCTGTGTGTGTGATGTGCCGGTCCATCCATCCATGTGGGGGTCTCAGCTGTCACGACCCTGTAGTTCCCCACATTACATGTCTGTTGGCACAAGTTCTAGTCCCCAACTCACCTTGACATTTGAAGGTTTATCAATGAATTTAAGAAATGTGATTGAGAATGATGATTCAAGTCCTGCATGGGGTGGATAAATCAAAGTTACGGCACTTTGCATTAGAGTAAGTGAAATAGTCGGTTGTGTCTGTGACTTTAGAACCAGCATATCACACACCTGCCTGTGTGTCCTGTGTGTTGAACCTGTGTCTTCTCCCCTCAGGGTGTGATCCTGGTTTATGACATTGCAAACAGATGGTCCTTTGATGGCATCAATCGATGGATTAAGGAGATTGATGAGGTACAGTATGGTGACACGGTGGCCTGGTTTCCTAGGGGTTTGGAAGGGCATTGGGCCAAGGACCTAGCTGTGGGCCTGTGGGCAGGGGAGAGGTCAAGGATTTAGCATGGAAAGGGTGTAGCACCTGGAAGCTGGATCCAACTCATGCAAGCCCAAAGAATCCTCAAACCCAGGAATCTGCTCCAGACAAGGTAGACAGAGGCCCTAGGAAGCTCTGGTTCCGGAACCAGTAGTGGCCTGCATGGCTTCCTGCAGTAGCCGGTCGGCTGACAAGCAGAGAAGCTGTGTGGGGCCCATGAGCCATCAGTATGAAGTCTACTGTATTAGGGTTCCGTGGCTGTCATGACAAATACCCACAAATGAGGTGTCTTACAGTTCTGGAGGGCACAAATCCAAATTTTAGGTGCCAACAGGGCCATGTCTCCTTCTAGAGTTGCTGAGAAAGATCCTATCCCAGCTTCTGGAGACTGTAGCAGTCCTTCGGCTTGTGAATACATCACTCCTCACTGTGTCCTGTCCCTAGAAGGACACCAGTCATTTGAGCACTGTCTGACCTGTGGTCAGTTCAGTAGGGCCTCACCACAATAATTACATCTGCAGAGATCCCCTTTGTGCATAAGGCCCTTTTCTGAGGTTCGAGGTGGATATGAATGGGGGAGTGGTACAACAAAGCCTCCCCCGTGTAACCCACTTCTCTGACTCCTCACAGCATGCACCTGGTGTGCCCCGGATCCTGGTGGGGAACCGCCTGCATCTGGCATTCAAGCGGCAGGTGCCAACTGAGCAGGCCCGTGCCTATGCTGAGCGCCTGGGTGTGACCTTCTTTGAGGTCAGCCCCCTGTGCAACTTCAACATCACAGAGTCCTTCACAGAGCTGGCCAGAATTGTGCTGCTGCGACATGGCATGGACCGGCTTTGGCGGCCCAGCAAGGGTAGGCGGGCGGCTCAAGGATGGAAGTTCCACCTGTGGGTTGGGTGCTCCAGGAGCCAGCTCAAGGCTTCTGTATGTACTCTCAAAAAGTAAACATGTTTGATTTGAGAGGAACAATTACAATAGCTGAGGGAAAAAGCTCAGGCCAAGGGTCTCTGCACCTACCTCGAGCAGAGGCGGAGGGCTGATAGTTTGAGTCCTAGGAAGAAGGGAGGCTACTGTGGGTGCCCCTTGTGGCCAGCGCTGCATGGATAGGGACAGCAGATGCTTATGTGGTTTTCTTCTCCCTCCCAAGTGCTGAGCTTGCAGGACCTGTGCTGCCGCGCTGTGGTGTCCTGTACACCTGTGCACCTGGTGGACAAGCTGCCACTGCCCTTGGCCCTGCGGAGCCATCTCAAGTCCTTCTCGATGGCCAATGGCCTGAATGCCAGGATGATGCACGGCCGCTCCTACTCCCTTACCACCAGCACTCCGCACAAGAGGACCAGCTTGCGCAAAGTGAAGACTGCTCGCACCCCACAGAGCCCGCCAGGAAACTGCACCAGGAACAGCTGCAAGGTCTCTTAGGAAGATCCCCAGGGAGACAGAGTGCCTTTCCGGAGAAGCCTCAGAGCCAGCCAGACTTGGGATGCAGCTTCCCCATCCTGGCCAGTGGGCAGCAGACACCTGCTCAGTGTGACTGACGTTGCTATGTGATGTGCATGAAGCTCTTGTTCGCAACTTGTGTTTATAAAGGGAAAATCAGTACTCTGCTCTGCACTCGATAACATGAAATTTTGAATGTTACTTTTGTCACGACTGCAGTGCAACTTTTTCCTTAAAATAACTGTTTTTACCAGATGGGCAAGGTGTGTGGGAGTACACATTCAAGGGAGTTTGAGAAGCAGTGATGGTGAGATAATCTGGTGTTGTTGCTCTAACAGGAGGGGCTGTTTTGTAAACCTTTTTAATGTCAAATCCCAATTTATAAAATGCTGCAGAGGGGCAGAGATGACATACAACAGATCTGCCCAGTTAGGGTATGAAAAGCATTTGATAATGTTTTTGCTATGTTGTTTATTACATTTTGGGATCAATAAGTGATTTCTATGCATATTTTTCTGTAAATCTACATCTTTTTTTGTATAAATTGTCCTACAGGTGATAAAGCTTCAGGAAGAAAATGCCAAAGATATCTCTTGTGATACTGAACATAGCCAACCCAGTTCAGCAAGGAGAAAGCTGTTTTAGTAAAGAATGAAGTAAAAACACTACTATTTAAGAACTGTTTCTCAACAATAAAGCATATATCTGTTCCTCTTGGTAGTGGTATGGTGGCCCCTTCTAGCTCCGGGCATTCCATAGCCTTTTCATTTGTTTGTCTTTTTTTTTTTTTTTTTTTTTTTAAGACAGTCTTGCTATGTAGTTAGGCCTTGAACTTGTAGTGATCCTCCTACCTCAATCACCTGAGTGCTGGGATTACAGGCAGGCACGGTATGCCTGGCAACCTTCAGTGTTTTCTTCACTGATTCTACAGCCTGGTGTGGACGAGTTCAGTGCTCATTCACAAGTGGACCATGAAGCTTAATTTTTGATGTGTTGGGGAAGATTCTCTCCCAGAAATGTAGAGAGCAATGGAACTACTGAGAACAGCACCATGCCTGTCCCTGTCTGTAAAATCCCAGAGAGGTTCTGTACTCCTCTTGCTGCTCTCTGGAGGTACAGACTGCCTCTGGATGTCCCAAGGACAAAATCTCATCACCAATAACACTCCCAAGGCCATGAGGCTTGGCAGGGGCCTCAGGCATGGGTCTCCCCTGGCCTTGTGGCCCTTGCACCTCTCTGGGGCAGTGGGGTTTTGATGCAGGCTCTCACACAGAGGAAGTGAGTTGAAGATGTGATCTGAGAAAATGCTCAGAGGGCACTGTTTCTGTTGATGACTTACAAGGTTTTAGCAATTTAAGGGCCCTGTGTTAGTCACTTTCCCAAGTATGGGACAAAGTACTTGACTCCCATAGCCTAAAGGAGCCTTGTGGTTTCAAACCATGGTCTGCTGCTCCAAGGCAAAAACGCATGGAGGAAGGGCCTGATGGGGAGAGGTGAGCTATGTAGCCCAGGGCACCCAAGAAGCACAAGGCAGCAGGTACAGAGATAGGGATAAGAACATACCCTTCCAGGTCACAGGCTTAGGTAACCAACCTCCAACCTGGTCCCACCTCCTGCCAGCACAGTCACCTACTGAACTCAGTGGTGAAAGAGTCCACTGATGCATGTAGTGTCTCTGTGATCCAGTTACCTCCAAGCACAAGGCTCCAGGGGCCATTTCTGATCCAAACCATAACAGGGACCCAGCATGGAACACAGCAGACCTGGCCACAAATGGCCTGGAGTGGACATGTCCCACCATCTGGGCATGACTGGGGGACAGATGTCCACAGAGGTGAGAGTGTGGACAAATGGTGGGGCCTGAGGAGACAGTCCCTCTGCGGGGAGGGGTGGTCTCGCAGACATTTTCCCAGCACCTTCATGGCTCCTCTGCTATGCACCAATGGAGAGATGAGCACGTTTAGGCTGATGCTGGCCAGGCCAGGGCCACTCAACTCCTTCCAGGGAGGTGTAAGAAGAGGGAGAGTGAAGGATCCAAGCAGAGGCTCTGCCTCTATCCCTTAGTTCTGCATACATGGGATGTGTGGGATGGATCTCTGCTTGGAGCGAGCCCAACAGGTACAAAACAGTACTTTTCTCTGCTCCTTTTTTGATTTATTTAAAGATTTCCACTCAGCCCAGAAGTAGAACACAGTTCCCCAAGCGGCTGACCTGGAGCCTTTGGAGAGCTGCCGTGTAGAAAGCATACAGGTGCCCACAGGCCTTGGACCTCTAACACTGGAGCCAATGGTAGTGGTTGCAGCAAGGGTCTCCCCAAGACCTGCTTGAGGAAGCCCAGACAGCCACACATGACTGTGAATTTAAAGTTCCTAGACCTGTGAGAGAATAGGTATCTGGGATCTTGATGTTGTTAATTGCTTTTTTTTCCCTTTATTTTTGCCTTTTGCAGTGGAGATTAAGCTCAAGAATTCACACATGCTATGCAAGTCCTCTATCACTGAGCTAAAAACCCCCAGCCCTTTTTATTTTGAGACAAGGGGCGGCTAAGTTGCCCAGATTGATCTTAAATTTGCAATTCTCCTGCCTCAGCCTCCCATGTAGCTGGGATTATAAGTATGTGATACTTCAACTGGCCAGGGAGCTGTTTTTGTTTTTTTTTTTTTAACCAGTACCAGGGATCGAACTCATGAGCACACACTTGCAAGGCTGGCACTTGTGCCGTTGAGCTAAATCTCCAGCCCCTGGGAACTGTTATTTTAAGTTACCTAGTCTGTGGCCTTGTGTCATGGCAGCTGTGGGAAACTAACATGACAAGGTAATATTGCACTTCACAGAGGAAGTGCAAAAGTAAGTCAAAGTGGTATTTCTGTGAATTAGAAACAAACTCTAATAAGGAACTAATTTAGAAGCTTACATGTTTTGATGGTAGATATACAGAAAATATAATTGAAATGCAAGTCACACTCTAGAGAAAACTTTGTTGTCATTCTGTTCCCTGGCTCTCACAGCTGGCAAAATCCCTCCCAAATAGGAATGTGAGCCATCTTATTTCCAGACATTCATGAGCCTTTCTTCAAACTCTGAGATTCAGAATATAGTATGCATGATTATGACTTGGAATTATTGCCATTAGAGAAATTTCTAAGGTAGAGAGTTTATAATTTCAATGAGGAATTACTTAGACAAAATACAGAATCCAGGAAAAAAAAAAATGGCAGTTACAGGCTTGATAACCTGTGTTTCTGCAGAGACAGAGATGCTTAGAACTGTGCTGAAGAACAGCTTCATCAAAAGAAACAAGAGATTTGAGAGGTGGGAATGAAGCTTCTTGAGTTGGGGGAACTAGAATAAGTCTTTTCCTTGGGGAAGTCTAGAGGGTGGGAAGGCTGTCACGGTTGTCCTGGGGTGGGACTTTCTGTCTCAACTCAGAAGGCAGAACTGGGAGAGTGGTAGAAGCTCCTGAGTCCACTTAGACCACTGTAACAAAATACCGGCAACAGTAACTTTTAAAGGAATAGGAGTTTGTTCTGTAGGCCAGCAAGTCCAAGGGCAAAGGGACAGAACAGCTGGTGTCTGATGAGGGCAACTCTTATTCCATGATGGTGCCCAGAAAGCTGTCTCTGCCCTAGGAGAAAGGATAAAAAAGCAATGGAAGGAGGCATCTTGCCTTACCCACACACTTTTAAAAAAATAAAGTCATTGAGCCAGGTGTGGTGGCACACATCTGTAATCCCATCACTCAGGAGGCTGAGGCAGGAAGACTGTTGTTTGAGACCAGCCTGGGCTACAAAGTGAGCTCAAGGCCAACCTGAACTGCAGAGTGAGACCTATCTCAAAAAGACAAAACAAAAACAAAAAAACAAAACAAACAAACAAAAAAACTAGTCATTGATCCTGTTCATGAGGGTTCCATTACCAATCTACCAAGGATTCCTTTGCTCAATTCAGATAGAAATCACAAAGAGGCAAAGTGCAGCTCCCTTAGAATTAGCAGTTCTGAGGTTTGAATGCCAGTGTTCTCAGTGATTAGTGTTAACAGCCCTCCTTGCTTCTCTTCCAGTAGTTATAGACAGCAGCTGTGCCCAGTGGCCAGTCCTTCTGGAGGTGCTTCAAATGCCAAGGAAATCATGCTGGAAGAAGTAGGAGCTGAAACCAAACAGCCAAATTCTGTCATCAGTAAGTGTGTCAGGTTCAGCTGATCAAGAATAGCAAGAAAAATCACAGTTTTTGTCCCTAAGAATGGGAGCTTGAACTTTATTGAGGAAAATGATAAAGTTCTGGGTGCTGTGTGTGGTCAGAAAGTTCATGCTGATTGTTAAAGTTGTCAGTGTCTCTCTTCTGGCTCTCTACGATAGCAAGAAAGATCGAGATCATAAATTCTGAGAGAAGACATTACTAATAAATTTTCATATTAAAAAAAGAAAATAAGGGACCAGCGATTTAGCTCAGTGGTACAGGGTCTGCCTGGCAAGTGTGAGGTCCAAAGCTTGATTCCTTGTACAAAGGAAGGAAGGAAGAAAATCCATGTCTAACTGTGCAAGAGGGTATCAGGTAGGCTGGCAGGACCAGAGGTGGAGGAATACATATTGGCTGTCCACACACAGAAGAGCCAGTCACTGCTCAGCCCAAGCAGATGGAAGCTGCAGCGTAAGAGGGGCAAGGATGCAGCTCTGGCCAGTTTGCTGGCCTACATCTCACCAACAGACACACCCAACACTGCGCTCCCATAATCTGCTATGTTTTTTAATCCATTCAAAGTGATATCACGATTAATGATCACGGAGCCCCACATGGCCACTCTCAGTGCCAGCAGCCTTTAGTGTTACCAGCTGAGCCTGCTCTACCTGAGATAGAAATCATGAACAAGCAAAATGAAACTACCAAATGAGGCTTCGTTAGGTTTTATGGTGCAGCATACAGAGGCACAGTCCATTACTTTTCCAGTAGGGTGAGGGGAAGGCCACTTATACAGACCAAAAAATAAATAAGGCCAATATCCTGCCAACCAAGCCCAGACTTTCTGCTTAGTGACAATGAAGGGAATGGGGACATTTAAAAGCTAAAGCAGCTGAAGAGGTGTGGAGCCTGACAGAGAGGCTTAGGGCAGTCACTTGCACTGGACCCAAGACCCAAACTTGCTGTGGGCAAAACAAAAGTTCCCAAGTAGCCATGAGGCATTTCAGGCAGTCACAGCTCTCAAAAATGGAAAAAAGAAAAATACAGGTACTGGTAGGGAGCACTGAACTTTCTGTTCCTCTTGGGAGTCTTCTCCCAAAGGCCACCTCCACAAACCATACAGGCAACTAAGTTTCAACATGTGGATTCTGGGTGCAGGGGGCTGCTCAGGTCACAGCAGAGCCCTAGCTTCAGTATTTGCTCCCTACCTTGTACCTGCTTTTCGGGGTGGTTCTTAACACTCTGGTTATGGAAGAATATTGGCTAAAAAAAGTATTAGGAAGCTGAGTGGTCTGGGAATAGGGTGCTCGCACTCTGTTGGCAGCTGGTGGGTGGTAGCTGACAGCTGGGAACTAGGGGACCTCACTGGCGGCTTCCTGCAGGCAGGTGACCCTCCCGAGCGCTGTGTTCCCACGTTGTCTCCTGCCTTGGTAAGGGTCGCAGCCAAGACCTCTGGGTGAGATGCCCTTCCCCAGTCCTCCAGGGTTGGGGTTTGGCTCTTGAGCTCCTCCTGCCTCACGGAACCGTGTGGATTCACAACCCCTTTACTTAGGCTTGGGGTTCTTACATTCCTTTCTTCTCTCAAAAAAGGTTGGCCTCTTCCACCTGCTGTCCCTCGCCTCAGCCGCCTCAGCGTAGAACTACAGAGCTGAATACTGTTTTGTTTTATTTTTTCCTCTACTGTTCCAGCATCATCCCAGGTGTATTTATCTTTTGGGGGCCACCACCAGCTGACTGGTCAGCTGCCTGGCTGTCTGTCGTGAGACACAGATGCCCTCATTCACCCTTCAGCCACAGCGGCCTGTCCCTGAATGCAGTGCAGCAGCAACCTGTGTGCCCACAGGGACACGAGAGGTACTACGTTTCCAGGGCACACGCTGGGGGCTGTGGAGGGGAAGACGGTACCACAGGACCATGTAAAGGGCCGTGTGTTCAGAGAAATGTGTACCTCGAGGAAGGGACGGTGGGGTGGACTCTGTGTACGTGGGGGTGACACGGGTGGACATGTGGTGTGAGGGAGGGGCTGTGCGTCCTGTGTGGGGTCTGAGGGGTGGCATACACGTGTCGCGGAGACTCGGCCCGCACCTGGTCTTGTGGCGATCCCGGACCCGCCTCCTCCCCGCCTCGCCATTGCGGCCCGGGTGTGGTGCCGTCGTGCTTCAAGTCCGCAGGTTCAACCGGTGACGAACTCGGCGGTCCGGTCTTGCGCCACCGTGGTCGGACGTACTCGGCACTCCGCGGATTCCCTGGCTGTGCGCGCGCACGCGCACACGTCCGCACGCACGCACGACGCAAGCCCCTACGCTTCTCGCTTCCGGCTGCGGCGGCCTGTGCGCCGCCAGACCGGAGACTCTCCCCGGCCCTTCAGGCGACATGCAGCACTGAGAAGCGGTGGACACCGGGAGGCGCCATGAACCTTCTGCCGTGTAACCCGCACGGCAACGGGCTGCTGTACGCCGGCTTCAACCAGGACCACGGTGAGGCGCGCGCCGGGCCCACCCCAGATCTCAGGACGACCCTCTTCGCCCCAGACCGAGGACCTGGCCCTGCCCCTGAGACCCCCGGACCCCGAGACTTCCCACTCTGCCTAGCCCGGCCTCCTGGACTCTCGCCTGGGCCGTCTTGTTCCCGAAATTCCCCGAGACTCTGGGCTGGCCTCACATCCGGGACCCTCGGATCGGGTCGGCCCTGTCTCCAAGACCCCCGGCCCTGAGCCCAAGACGCCTGGCCCTGGCCCAGATCTCGGTCCGGCTTTGTTCTTGAGACCCTCGGCTTGGCCCGGCCCTGTCCCCGGGGCCCTGAGCTCAGCCTGGCCCTGCCTCCGCGACCCCCGACGCGTTCAGGCGGTCCTCATCCCTCCATTGGAGACCCCAGGCTCGGGGCGCGGCGCGGCGCTGCCCTAGGCGGTCCGGGCCGGTTGAGACGAGGCGGAGGCGGAGGCGGATCCCGCCCGAACTGGGATTCTGTGCTCGGTTTACTGGGTGGGTCCTGGAAGCTCTAGGCTTCGGTAGTGTGCACATCTCTTGTTTTCTCTTCTCTTTTTCATTTGTCTTGTTTTGTTTATATTTTGAGTTTAGGTCTTGCTGTGTAGCTCAGGCTAGCGTTAAAACTCACTGCGTCGCCCAAACTAACTTCGACTTGTGACGATCTTCCCGCCTCAGTTTACCACATAGTGAGATTGTAGGTGTGCACCACTACTCTAGGCCTGCGCGAGGTCTTAAACTGTGAGTTCTTTGGGTCCCAGAGTTGGCTCAATGTGTGGTCCCTGCGGGATGAACCTCAGCGAAGGTGCTGGTTAGTCAGTTTACAGTGAGTCCTGCCACTCGTAACAAACAGCACTCTTGTTTGGTGGAGGGAAAGATCTCTCAGGCTTGCCTTGGGCATCTCGGTCCTTGTGGCCTGCGGTAATCACTCCTCTACCTGGTAAGGTGAACTCCTCAGCTTCACCACTGAGAAGAAGGGAGCAACCAGCTGCTGTTGAAGGGCAGACTCCTAAGAAGTTTTGCATCTTGATTTTGGACTTTGTTGTTTTCGAGACAGGGTTTCACTATGCAGTTCAGATTGGCTTTGAACTCGCTTTGTAGCCCAGGATGGCCTCGAACTCACAGTGATCCTCCTGCTTCAGCCTCTTTTGAGTGCTTGTGTTATTGGGGTACACCACCATCACCACGTTTTGTCGCTGTGCTTTAAAGAGGAAACTAAAAGTTTTAAAGAGGAAGCTAAAAGTGCCACATAATCTCATATGTGTGAAAAATTTATTATAGTGTTCTTGAGACAAGAATCTTACTGTGTTGCTTAGCTGCAACTTCTGAGCTTAACTGATCTTTCTGTTTTAGCCTCTCGAATTGGGACTATAGGTGTGTGTGACCATGCTCTCTGTGACGATAATCTTAAGTGAATTATTTTATTTTGCAGTGTTGGGAATTGTCAAATGAACCGTTTTAGATAATTCAGTTTTCGGCTCGCATTTGGCATATATTTATTTGGTTTTCAGTATGCTAAGTATTTCCAGGGCTTTGACAGTTTGAATAGAATCGAATCTGACACCCCGACCCTACCTCTGTATGCTAGTGATGTAGTAGAAGACTGGAAAATGTATTTAAGAAAAACCAAAGTAAGAAGCAGAACATGTGCATGTCATAAGACAGGTGTGGAAAGGTTTTCATTAAGCTGGAGGAAGACACTGGTTTACAGTAGGGTCTCTGGAGGAGCAGCCCTTGGACCCAGGAGGAGGGCCAGTGGGAAGGCCTCACTTGGCTTCCTGACCTGGGTGGTGCCTGCAGTGGTTTGCTTTGGCCTCCTGCTGGGACAAGGAAGGATTGCACTTACTTCAGGGGCCAGATGTTGGTCTTTGGGTGGCACAGGATCTGCCTCAACATTTGGCTTTTAATTAGAAGAGGACCAGTAAGTTTTAACCTTTTAAGAAATGAACAGCCATATAGTGATTCCTTAAGAAACACGCTTCTGTGCCCCGGGTTAGCTCAGCGGCCTTAAATGCCTGCTTGGCAAGCTCAAGGTTGTGAGTTCAGTCCCCATACCAAAAAAAAAAAAGAAAGAAAAAAAGAAATACGCTTCCAGGCTATTGTGGCTGACCTTACCATAGTGCACCCTGCATCCACCAGGGTATGTTTTTATATTGCTGTTTCCTCTTTTACTCAGCCCAAACTGCAGAGCCAGTTTCTCCTTCACTTTTCACTTTTAATTATTCAGATAAAGTTTGTCGCAATTTAAAAGAAATATGCTTTCATCCTAAAGCTTTTGTTAATAGTTAACATGCTATAATGTAAATTTATATCAGATGGTTGCATCACATTTTGTTTCTGCTTATACTGATCTTAAATTATTTACTCCCCGTGTTTTTAACATTTATTGCAAATTAAAGTTTAGAAAACACGTTCGAACGACTATTTTTAATACTGGGGATAGGATCCAGAGGGGCTCTGCCACTGAGGTTCTCTCCTAGCCCTTTTTCTTTTTAAAAAAAAATTTTTTTTTTATCGGTACCAGGGATCAAACTCAGGACTGCCTGCTTGCAAGGCAGGCGCTTATGCCGCTGAGCTAAATCTCTAGCCCCGTATTGGTGCATTTTTGATACCCATATGATCACATTCATCATAGAGAATTTGTACCTGCTGTAACTTGTTTCTTTTTTTCAAGGTGCATCTGTGTACCTTGAGTGTATGCTTTGTGGCAAAGTGGTACTCCATTGTATTAAAAAGTCAACATCTTTATCCATTCACCAGTTGATAGGCATTTGAGCTGTTTCCAAGATTTAGCTTTTACAGACTGTGCTGCTATAAACATGAGTGTGATATATCGCTGTGGTACAATGTTTTTAATTCTTCTGGGAAAATACCCAGAAGGGGAATAGCTGGGGTCCAATGGAACCTTTTTAGTCCTAGTTTTTTGTGGAATCTCTGTACTGATTTCCACAGTGGTTGCACCAGTCTACACTCCCATCAGCAGCAGAGGATTCCTTTTTTCCTACTGGCATTTGGTAGTGGTTGATTTCTTGATAATATTCATTCTTTCTGGGGTAAGATGGACTCAGCTTTGTTTTAATTTACATCTTTCGAATGACCGGTGATGTTGAATATTTTTTCATACATTTATTTGCTGTTTGTATTTCACCTAAGAAGTATATATCCATCTCAGATGCCATTTTTGGACTGATTCTTTAAATTTGGGGAGGTTTGATTTCCCCCCTCCCCCTGGTTCTTTATGTATATTAGAAAGTAGTCCTTTGTCTGAGGAACAGCTGGCAAACATTTTCTCCCATATTGTGGGTTGTGTCTTCACTCTGGTGGTGGTTTCTCTTGCTGTACAAAAGCTTTTTAATAAGATGAAATCCCAGTTATTGATTCTTTGTGATAGTTCCTGTCTGATTGGAGTTTTGTTCCTAACATCTTTGCCTACACTTAAGTCTTCAATAGGTCTACTTATCCTGACTTCCAACAGATTTAATGTTTCTGTTTTAATATTTAGATCTTTGATCCATTTCAATTTTAGTTTAGAGCATGATGAAAGCTATAGGTCCAAAGCGTGTAGAAAGCCAGTTTTCCCGCACCATTTGTTAAAGCTAGCTCATAATTTTAAATTGTTCAAACTTTATTTTTTCCCCAGTGATAATTTGCACTACAGTCTTCACAACTGAAAGTGTTGGTACAAGCATTTCTATAATGTGTCCACTTACTTTTTCTATCCCAACAGGAAGCAGAGATATTTGAATAGCTGCTCGAGGTAAGCCCTGAGGTGACAGATGAAGCTCCTGGGCCCACGCGGCCATCACTGCTGGCTTTGGGGGAGCTGTGTGGTGTAGTTTAGGCCAGAGATTTCCCAGGGAGAAAAGGGTAGCTGAGTGTGGTGGCACAGGCAAGACTATCTCAACAACAACAAAAAAAAGACAAAAGAAACCCAAGCAGATGAAATCCAGGAACCCCTCACACACAGTGCACATATATATGTTTAGCTTGTTGCATTTTCCAAACTGCACACACCCCTCAGCAGTACCCTGGTTCTGATCCTGAGTATATCCCAGCTCTCATGCTCCTTCCAGCCTGACCTGTGACAGCATCGATTAGTTTTGCTTGCTTCTATGCTTACTTTAGGTTATGTTGTTTTGTTGTTTTGGTTGTACTTTTTTTTTGTACTGGAGATTGTACTTATAACCTCATGCTTGGCAGGCAGACGTTTATGCCACTGAGCTAAATCCTCAGCCCTTTATTTTGGTTTTTTGAGATAAGTCTTACTCTCTAGTCCAGACTGGCCTCAAACTGTCAGCAATCCTGCCTCCGCCTCCCAGGGGCTGGAGGTTACAGTCCTGTGCCACCTCACTCTGTACTTACTTTAGTGTTTATTTCTGTCTTTGGCTTTTGTTGGTTTGCTTTTATTGCCATGCTGATGATCAACCTAGCAGAGTGAGAGTGCACCTTTTAGAGGTGGGTGGCCAAACTGCAACACAAAACTCACTCACTTACTGAAAAGTGCCAGACTGCAATTAAACCTGAATATCTGATGCTCGGCTGCTGGGGTGACTTAGCTGAGATGTCATAGACTCTCCATTCCTAGGGCCTTGTGCGTGCTAGGCAAGTGCTTACAGCTGAACTGGGTATAGTACCAGTCTGTTTTTGTCTTTTTCATTGTCATGTTTTTGAGATTTTTTCTCCCCACGTTGTTGGTTGTAGTTACAGATCCTTCTCATGAACATGTAGTGTTCCTTTGCAGGTGTGTATTGCCATTCATTTGTCCATTTTATTTTTGGTGAGCATTTGTATAGGTTCTAGTTTTTGGCTTCCATAAGTATAACAGAGCCACTGTGATTATTGTGAGACATGTCTTTTGATGAGCACATGTTCACGGGTCTGCAAGGGTATGCTGGGAGCAGTTGGAGCTGTGCTATCCTTGCAGATAGTTCTTCAGAGTGCTCTTCGCGTTTCGCCTCAGTGTTCCTCTGTGTTCCTCTGACTTGACACCAAGCTGGCACTCGTACCCATCATTTTGACCAGTGGGGCCAGTGTGCTTTATTTACGTTCTCCTGGTTCCTTGTTTACTGATGATCCTGTTTTTTTGAGACAGGGTCTTGCTATGTAATTTAGGTTGACCTGGACTTACTGTGTGGCCTAGGCTGGCCTTGAATTCATGACTATCCTTCTGCCTCAGTTTCTCAAGTGTTGGGATTACAGTATCTACCACCATATCTGGCTTGATGATCAGTTTGTTTTGTTTTTCTTTTGCTTGTGGATTTATAAAAGTGGCTTGTATGTTTTTATACAAATCTTTAATCAGGACTGTTTCCTGATGAAGACCAGTAGATACAGACTTGATTAAGACTTATGAAAGATGTAGTAGTTGAAAAGGAAAAAATTTAACTAGTATCTCTATATTTTTTGGCAAGGAAAGCTCATATTCCTCTGACTGGGCTATATGCTGATAATAACATCAAAAGGGTATTGTAACTCAGAACAATTTAAGTAAGACATAACGTAGCACCTTCAAGTGAGTTTCAGATTCCAGGCCCAGGTAAATTACATTTCAGAATGTAAGAGCTGATCACATAGTAAGATCTCTGGTTCTCTGGTGTAGCTGTCATGGATCCTGGGATCTGTCTTGATCTGTAGTTTTATACTTGGATAAAAATACAGTTATACTTTTCCAATTGGAAGGATGACTGATGGGACAGAATAATCTCATCCCACAACCACAGTGGTAGCGCAAAACTAATAGAATGGAACTTAAGAGACCTTAACATTGGTTTTCAAACCAGTTTTTCAGGGACCAGGCTTCACAACATTTCATATGAAGAATTGGAAGGTTTAGTTGTTCTCAAAGCTTCATGTGAACCTGCAGTTGGATATGGCATTTAAAGGAGGTCGGTATAGTTGTGGGCCATACCTAAAGTGACTGGAGTCCAGGTTGCAGGAAACAAAGCAGCATGGTCTTGAAACTTGAGTGCCTTTTATTTAGACCATTAGCAATCTGGATGAATGACTTGGAGATGATGGCCTGGGTCTCATTGTGACCATGACAGGGGTTTGTGGAGTTTGAGCAGTTTGCATCTTGTAGGAAACGACGCTAAGATAGAAGAGAGCAGCCCTCGCTCTTTTCAGTCTCAGGAGTATGAGACTCCCTGCATGTCTGCTGGATCCTGCCCCTTTCCCTCACCTGCTGAATCCACACTGGCCAGACTGGCTTGCGTGGTGGCTGTCCTAACTTGCTTGTGCACATTGTTGTTTGTCACTGTGTCTCTAGGACTAGTGCAGTACCTGAGCACGTGAAAAGTCTGTTCCAGAAGTAGGGCCAGTGAGCTTGAGAGGCGAGCATTCAAGGAATGCTCATTGGCAGAGTGGCTTTCCAAGGTAACCTGTGAGCTCTTTCTGGAATTCAGTGTTCAGGCGTAGGCTAGTCCACAGGAATGCAGCAGGAGAACCCTGCAGCAAATAAGCCAGCATTCATTACTCCAGAGGCTCCTGTGCGTGCTCAGTGATGCAGGATGGGTACATCCCTTGTATCATCTCTGTGAGGAGAGTGGCCGTGACTGGGCGTGCATCGTGTCTGTGAAGTTTGGGAACCTCTGAGTGCCACGTCTCCAGACTGCTTGTCTTGTCCACTGGGAACTAATACGTCTTTTCATACTCCTGCTTCAGGGTGCTTTGCGTGTGGGATGGAAAATGGATTCCGAGTCTATAACACCGATCCACTCAAAGAAAAAGAGAAACAAGGTAAGGGGATGATGAACATTTCCTGGCTTTTCCCTTTTCCAGCCCTCAAAGAATCTAAATTTCATTTTGCAGCTGGAATAGCTATTTCTGAGAGATAGGTAAACAGGGTTCTGACCCTTTCCAAATCCAGGCAGGGCTGTGGTCATTGTCTCTGAGCTCTGTGAGGTGGCTGTGTCCTGGAGAACATGGTTGGGCTGACTGGTGGTGAGTAATCTGGCAGGCAGACCTCTCCTGTCTTTAGAGGAATAAGTGTTTTAAAGGTGTCCACTTTCTCTCTTTTCTTACTGGATGTGAAGCTGTAGAGAACTCAGTTGATGAGTTTAATTGTAGCATGTGGATCTCTTAACAATAATAAAATGAACAGTAATTGGAAGATATTTGATCTGGGCATGTTGGTGCATGCCTGTAACTCCAGGACTCTGGGAGGCTAAAGCAGGAGGATCACAAGTTTGAGTCCAGCCAGGGCAAATATGGTGATTTAATGAGATCTTATCTCAAAATGGGTAGTATGTTCTAAGACCCACTAGCTGCCTAACAAACCCACAATGAGCCAGATCTTGTGTAGCCTGTGTTTTTTCCTGTTTATACGTGTCTGTGATTAAGTTTCATTTATAAGTTAGGCATAGAAAGAGATTAACAATGGTAACCAGCTGTGGATCTCAGCAACCTTGGTGTATGTTTTGGGTTGTGTTTTTATTTTTCTTTCTTGAGTTACTACAGATTGAATCTAGGATATTTGTACAGAGCTAAGTCCTTAGCCCTTTTTTATTTTGAGAAAGAGACTCATTAAGTAATTCAGTTTCCCAGGCTGGGTTTCAATTTGCAGTCCTCCTGCTTCAGCCTTCCAGAGTGCTGGAATTAATTACATGCATATTTTTTCCTTTTTTTTTCCCCTAGGCAAAATACTTTATTTTTTTCAAATTCAATTTATTTCAAGGGGGAAAAAAAGAAGAAAAACTAAAAGAAAATTTCAAAACATGTCAATCAGGGGCAACAATGGTACATACATTGTTATCCCCAAATCATTCACCCAGAGCATAAGACATCTGCTTACAATTGTCTGAACAACACCAGCACAATCTTTTTCTTCATTGAACTCAGAAATCAGAGGTGTAACCATCATAAGTATTTTTTATGTATATATATAAACATACACATATACATATGTTGTACCTTCAGCCTCTGGCACTAGTGAGACAATATGATGTTTACATATGTGTGTCTTATGAATTTCACTAATGAGTACCGTCTCAAATCGCATCCATTTAGCTATAAAAATCTCTAGTGTGTTCTTTTTTATGGCTAAGTAGCATGCCATTGTATAAAAGTACCACATTTCTTTTTTTCTGTCTGTCTTTCTTTCTTTCTTTCTTTTTTAATCGGTACTGGGGATCGAACTCACGAACAAGGCAGGCGCTTATGCCGCTGAGCCAAATCCATAGCCCCTCCACTTTTCTTTAATCCATTTCTCAGTCAATGGTCATATGGGTTGTTTCCAAGTTCGGGGCTATTACAAACTGTGCTGCTGTAAACATGGGTGCATGTATATTGATGTGGTAGGATGTTTTTAATTCTTTTGGGAGATACCCAGAAGGGGAATAGCTGGGTTGAATGGGACCTAGTTTTTTGAGGAATCTCTGCATACCCACATTTTTTTGTTTCCTTAAATTGAAAACTTTTGCTTTCACTTAAAGAGAGAGTGTTGTAGTAGCTTTCTTTTGCCAGCATGCTACTCTTGGCCTGGTGCCCTTATTTAAAATAAGGGTGACTTGCCAGGCCCACACCTGAAATCCAGCACTTGGGAGGCTGAGGCAGGAAGATTGATTGAGTTCAAGACCAGCCTGGCTGAACTATATAGCAGGCCTCAATACCATAGCATAGTGTGGTGTGGCGTGGTGTGGCATGGCATGGCATGGCATGGCATAACATGATGAAATAAAAGTGACTTGAACATAAGCACTCTGATAACAGAATTGCTATCAGGTGACTAAGTCATACATTGTGGGTACATTGGCTGGATGATTCTGTCCTGCATAGGATAAGAAAGTAAGATGTTAGTATACCATTTGGATCAGCATGCAGTTTACATTTGGGATTTTGCTTTTAATATTTTTAGACCAATATTTACCAAAGATAACTGAAATCCTGGGGCACAAAACCAAAGAGAAGGGATGGCTATTGTATTATAGCAAGTTGGTGAAAGTGTCAGCGTGGTGATGATCATCTCCTATTGATTCTCTGTGCTAATTTATTTTGTCTTGGTTTCACAGTAAATTAAGACAGTTTTGCTTTGTGCAGATAAATAGTTGTGAAACATTTTAAAATAGCTTAACTTGGAAACCTCCAGGTACTTTTCACTAAGTTGACCCTGGAGTTTAAAGATGTGCTGTAGAGCCAGATGAGGTGGTACATATCTGTAATCCTAGCTTTGTAGGTGAACAGCGAGTTGGAGCCTAATCTGGGTAATTTAGCCAGACCTTATCTCAAAATAAAAAATAATTTAAAAAAAATAGGTTTGTGTGAAAGCCTTGAGTTTGGTCCCCAGTATTGGGGGAAAAAAAAAGACAATGAGCTGTGGACCTTGCTGTCATAACTGATTCATTAGCAACTGTTTACTTAATGAAATATTTATACTAAATTTAGAATTTCTTATTTTTATAAGTTAGGTACGAAGTACCTGAAACTTGTAAGTTCCAGCAGCATGCACCATCTTGGACTTTTCATGCCTCTGGTGGGCAGGCTGCCTGAGCTTCTGTGTAGTGAGTCCGTGATGTGTGCTGGAGGCATGCCAGCGTTCCCAGCCCTCAGGAGCAGATGTACCTCGAGTGGAAGGGGCCCTGCAAGCCTGTGTGGTTCTCTTCAGGAGGCTTGGGGTCAGAGGAGGAAGAGTTGTAGAGGGGGCTGTAGCTTGAGAGGAGTGTGAGGCAGGTGTGGTTTTATAGCTTGATTGGTAAAACCTTTGTTTAAAGCAGTTTGCGAAAATTTGTTCATTTTAGATAAACGTGCTACTTTATCTAACAATTATACCTTGTTTGTTTGTTTGTTTGAGACAAGGTCTCGCTATGTAGTTTAGGCTGGCCTTCTCAACTATGTAGCCCAGGCTGGTTTTGAACCTGCAGCTGAACATAAGCACCAGCCTCTTCCAACCTCAGCGTCTTTAGTGCTGGGGTTACAGGTGTGTGCCCAATTATGCATCAGACCAAAAACTCCAAGTGCTTGAATAGAATACTAACTTGCAGCAGCTTCTAGTAGTGAAAAATTGGGCAGATGACCAGGAGATGTAGCTCAGTGGTAGAGCATTTGCCTAGCATGTGTGAGGCCCTGACTTCAGTATGCAGTGCACTTGCGCTTGCTCTCTGTCTCTGTCTTTGTCTCTCTCTGTCTCTGTCTCTCTCTCTGTCTCTCTCTCTCTCTCTCTCTCTCTCTCTCTCTCTCTCTCTCTCTCATACACACAGAACAAAACTAGAAAAATTGTTGGGTGGCCTTATGGTTATTAGAAGAGTAGTTATGGTGCATCCTTAAAACAGCAAGCACCTGCCTTGCAAGCAGGCGGTCGTGAGTTCAATCCCCGGTAGGGTGCCAGGCTCTGTGGGAGGGAGAGCAGTGTAGACCAGTGTTGTTCCATTTGAACTACAGCAGTATTTATGGGCAGGAAGTTGGAAGTGCATGAATGATGCACTTAAGCTGTGTTTCTCACTGTGTACTTTTTTGTATTGCGTAGTGATATGCAATTTTTATAGCGAGAAATAATTGAGATGTTTCTATTTAAAAAATTGCTCCACAGAAAAGGGAGTCTAGAAGAAAGCCATGTTGGCAGAGACCTGGCGTCTGCTCCATTCTCATAGGTGCTGCCCCTCTGTGGAAGGTAGCATTGTTCCTGCGGCTGCCTGCAGAGTGGCATTCTGCCCATGAGCAGCTGTCACTCCTCATCCTCCAGTGCTTCTCACGTGTCTGTTGGAAGCTTGGCCCTGTCAGTCAGTGAGAAGCTTTTGTGTCTTCCATGTGTATCTGCAACTTTAGTAGGTTATCAGATGTCTCCATACCCTATAGACCTGATACAGACCTGCAGACACTGACATCTGGGTGTGCTGGATGTGCAGGGCCCAGAGCCCGGCTGTTATCCAGGCAGCCCCTTCTTTAGGGAGAGCCTCTCCCTCCTTTCTTGGGCTGCGTGAGAGGGTTATAGGGGGTACAGAGTGCCTCTCGACTTTGTCCTAAAAATCTGCTTTTCTTTTCATGATTAAAGCCCAGAGATCATGGCAGTATTTCTGCTAAGTTTGTTTTGGTGCTGCTACTTGAACCAATAGCCTCACATGTGTGTGCCCTATCATTGACCCACTGCCAGCCACAAGTCTCAGTCCTTAAGATCTGTCCTTAAGATCCACCTCAGCCTCTGAAGTAGCTGGAATTACAGGGTGAGCCACTACATCCCTGGCTTCCTCTCTCTCAGTTGTTTGGGGTTTTGTTGTTGTTGTTTGGTTGGTTGGTTGGATTTTTGAAACAGGATCTTGCTGTGTAATTCAGGCTGGTGCTGAACTCACTATGTGTATAGCCGAGGCTGGCCTTGAACTTACAGCAGTACTCCTGCCTCAGCTTTCCGAGCACTAGGATTATAGGCATGCACCACTATACCAGGCTGGTTCTTTGTTACTGACATTGATATTTTTCTTTTTTATTTATTTATTTATTTTTTTTTTTTTTTAATTTTTTTTTTCGGTACTGGGGATCGAACTCACGACTGCCTGCTTGCAAGGCAGGCGCTTATACCACTGAGCTAAACCCCCAGCCCATTGATATTTTTCTAAATTGCATCAGACATAGGCCAGACATGGTTGACATATGCCTGTAATTCCAGCACTCAGGAGGCGGAGGTGGGAGAATTGCCATGATTTTGAGGTCAGCCTGGGCTACATACTGAGTTCAAGGTCAGCCTGACTAGTAAGGCTCTGTCTCTAAATAAATATCAGACAGAAATAGGCAGAAAGATAAAATATTTATAC